CAAACTTTTTCAACATATCAGCAGATAATCAAAACTATACTTAAGATGCGTGGCCAACGTTGTTGTACGATTCGCTACCGTATATCAATACTTCAGCATCTTAAAGGAATCAAAAAGATTGTAAATACTTTATCATACCTATTTTAATTGACAGCGGCATTGTACTGATATTATATAAAAGAATAAATTTATTAAACTCTTTTGAAAAAAAGAAACGACTGACTGCCATCAGTAAGTCAGTCAATGAATTTTTCAGTTAACTAGACTGTCAGGCTAAATCACCGCTTATTTTTCCGGGTAGCGGAGGCAGTCTCGTCAGACAAATGATTCCAACGTTCTCTATCCTGCATAAACGCTTGAACTTTGCCAGAGAATGACACGAGTGTGTAGAGGAGAGGCTTTTCGACATTTACCTTAAATTATTCTACGATATCCCGAAGGTCTACGGGCAATCGTTTGAGCAACTAATAATTGCTAACTCTTCTTCTAGAAGCATTGGAATGAAGTGTCCAAATTGTCGAAACTGTAACTTCTCAGTTTACAGAAAACACATTATTGCCGCTTATACCTTAGGTCGAAGATTTTCACCCACTATCAACAATGTACCGTCGGTGGGCATGGGGATTCACACGGACTTGAATTCCGACAGCTTAGAATTCAGACTCAGCTGTGCGTTAGTCAACAGCGGTTCTCGAGTGATCACCCGAGAGCTCATTGTCATTCAAATTCACCTGTTTATCTCTTCTTCCCATTTTCTATCACCAGTAAAAATGACTCCGATGCATGTGATGCGTGAGCTTCACAAATTGCTCCACTGCTTTTCCGATCATTTGCAAAGCGAGACAGCACTAGACATTCGTTTCAGACATTTGCACGCATGCTGAACACACCGCATTCCGCTACGAAATTTTCACGCAAAAGGTCGTCTGCAAACAGCAACTTCCTCGCCTACACATTCCCTTATGTTATATATTCTTCGCCTTGGCTGTGTGCAATTATTCTCTCCATTACGTCACTAATTAGATGATGAAGCCTTTGGCTACTTCCAAGAATAACCAAAACACAGACAGGAGAGGGGAAAAATCGCAACCTTGACAAAAACGTAAAAACGCCGAGTGGTTCAGTGCCAAAGCTA